AATTGAAATTAAAATTTTTTATATTAAAATCAAATAATTGAAATTAAAATTTTTTATATTAAAATCAAATTTTTTTAATATGTAATCGTTAAATTTACATTAAATATTTCATCGTATAATAAAATTTTACTCTTTATCATTTGTCACATAATATTATCAATTAATTGAAATAATTTAATATTGGATTATTACTGAAATTTGAATAAATTTTTATTCGTAACAAAATTTCATCTAAAATACATTTCAATAACTTAATAAATTTATTCCAAATATAATTAAAATCAAAGATTTAAAATAGAAAATTTTTAATTAAAATTATTTCAAATTAAAAAAAATTATTTAAATTATTAAAATGAAATAAAATAATACCTGTTAGGGAAACCTTTACGACAAATTCGAATACCTTCCAGTACACCGTTACATGTAAGCTGATTTAATACCAATGCAGCATCCAGTAAACCGGATTGTTTCTTCTCATTCGGGATAATACAACGAATGAAATGTGGATGTGTCATATTTAACATTGTCATTAGATTATTCAATGATTCACGATATAACATGGAAACGGTCATGAATGAACCGGATTTACCCTTCTTTTTACCTGCTCCTCCGCCATCTGAAATTTTAAAAAAAAAGAAGGATGAAAATTTAAAAAATATTAAAATTGGAATAATTGCACATTAATTAGGGATTAATTGATTAATTAATTAAAAGTATTATCATTTGAAATTTGAAATAATTAAGTCTTTTTTCTTTATAAATTAGAAATCTTAATTATAAATTGATTAAAAATTAATTGATTAACCCATTAAAAGTATTATCATTGATTAAAACTTTCTTTTTTTATAAATTAGGATTCTTTTTTTTTGATGAATTTTCGATCTCGTTTTCCCTTTTTTTCCAATAAAAAAAAATTAGCTTATTCTGATAATTTTATCATCAATTAATTGATTAAAATTATCATCATCATCATCATATTATATTTAAAAGATGGGAATGATAAAGGAATTATTAACAGCTCTTATCATTCCTTATCTGTCAACGATTAGAAAATTTTTCAAAACATTATCAATGTCTTAGACAATCATTATTGTATCATAAATTTTATCAATCTAGAAAAAGCATAGGAAAAGATAATTTCTCGAATTTTATCAGCTTACTTTGTTTTTTTTTTTTT